TTGCATTAGCTGGTCTTTTGGTGTCCTCTTATGGGAAATTGTGACTTTGGGTGGAAACCCCTACCCAGGCATTGCTCCAGAACGGCTTTTCAACCTTCTGAAGACGGGCTACAGGATGGAGAAGCCAGAGAACTGCACGGATGAAATGTGTGTACATCACTTGAATGTGTTGTAGATTTGAGAGCTGAATGAACAAATCATTTTCTAAAACCACCATGTCATCATAGGATATATATCATTTAACATTCAAGTTAGCATATTTTGCTTTATATGACTTTAGAATGTCTCATACAATATTATGGACACAACATGTACTTAATTTCACCTAAAGGAATCAGTTATTTACGTGTGACAATCAGAGATGTTCTGAATCAGGTGATGAATGCTCTGTTATGTAATATAGGTACAATCTGATGCTTCGTTGTTGGAAACAAGAGCCACATAAGCGTCCTACTTTCTCAGACATCAGCAAAGAACTTGAGAAGATGATGGTGAAAAGCCGAGTAAGAATACAACAAGTACTTTCTCTCCAGACAGTCACACACAGACACAAATCAAAACACTTCTGATGAGCTTCATGAAATGACAACCTGAGCTGAACCTGTCTTCACAAATCATGTATGAACTTTAAGTCAAACATCCCAATTAAAATAGTATTTACACCCTAATTACCTTATACAGTGGGTACGGAAAGTATTCAGACCCCCTTAAATTGATTCAAAAGTTTGGGGTCAGTAAGATTTTTTTTTTTAAGAAATGAGTACTTTTATTCCACAAGGACACATTAAATGAATCTAAAGTGAAGTAAATGCTGTTCTTTGAACTTTATATTCATCAAAGAATCCTAAAAAAATTTTATCAACATTTCCACATAAATATTAAGCAGCACGACATTGATAATAATGATAAGTGTTTCTTGAGGACCAAATCATCATATTAAATTATTACATTACAGCAATTTCTGAAGGTTCATGTGACAATGAAGACTAAAGTAATTGTTTTTTTGTTTTGTTTTTTACTGTATTTTCAATCCAATAAATGCAGCCTGGTTGAGCGTAAGAGACTTTTTTTCTAAATTATTAAAAAATCTTACCGGCCCCAAAGTTTTGAATGGTAGTCTGTTTATTCATTTAAGTTGTCATAAAGATTAAAATTCTCCAAGGTAAGTGACGATGTTAAAACAACGTGAAAACAATGGATGAACACAGATCAACTGTCAGCACCTTGACTCCAAAAAACGTTGTTATATTTTAGAATAAATTAAATGTTAGACTGGCCATATTTACACTTAAATGTACTGTCATATATTTTGTTATGCTAACCTTTAGCAACTAATGTAATTTGACAACCTGCTTTCTAATGATGTTGACTAGTGAATCAAGAAAAATCTCATTCTCAAGAAACATTTTTTCACATGAAGTATGTGATGTTACACTGAAGAGTTATGGTACCACTAGTCTGATTTTCATAACTGTGTTTCCCTTCATCAGGACTATCTGGATCTCGCAGCCTCCACGCCAGCAGACGCCCTGCTGTATGACGACTCCCTCTCTGAAGAGGACACACCTTTAGTGGACTCTAGTAACGCCCCTCTCCCTCGAACCCTCCCCTCCACTTGGATTGAAAACAAGCTCTATGGTAGAATTTCCCATGCATTTACTCGATTCTAATACTGGGAACAAAATCAATTTGTTTTTGCCTTCCATAGGAAGTGCTGTGATTGTGCTAACGGCATGGTTGCCACTGACTTATGAATATTGCTAATGTTTTATAGATTCAGTTAGTGCTGTAGTGTCTGGATCTAGGGATCAGATGTTTCATTTGGACCTGCTTCCGATGTACTCTACTATTTGAAATATTCATTTTAAAAAGCTTTATTGTACAAGTATTATTACTACTGATAAAAAAAGTTAATAATTTTCATTTATATACAAAAAACTTAACATGTATTATGTTCAGTTAGGAAAATATAATTAGATGTGTTTCATGATTTACATCATATGTGAATTTTCTATTGGTTTGCAGCACTGTAGGTTAAGTTTTACATTTGAAACAGGTCCCGTGTGCTCTGGATGTGCTCTCTCTGTAATATTCTGAACATATTACAGAAAATGAGTGTTTACAGTAGATGGAGTCAGTTCTGAAAGCAGTAAGGCTTTTGAATTAAACTCTTCTTTTAGTTTAGATCATATATCAAGATATGCAAGACTCTGTTAGCTCTCCCCAAAATTATGGCATTAATAGTAAGCAATTAAACGGCCAGCAGTAAGGCAGTTGCTATTCACAGACTCCTTGATGTCTGTTATTTCTGCGAGTACACAAAAAACCTTTTAGTAGAGCACTGATTATCTATTTCATTTAAAATGATTGTACATAAAATGGCAAAGACAACAGCAGTAACAATACTGATGTCATGATGATGTCATACAATAGATGATGTCATCACAGTGGAATATTGACATGAATGACCAAAAAGCACTCAAAGGACCAAAGAATGATTTCATGCTTCTACCATGAAATTACCATGAGTCATTCATGCTGTTTTATGCTGTTTAATGCTCAAAAGCTGAGCTGAGTTTCGTTTGAGAGCCTTACTGTCTGGACTTAATGCTTCCTCAGTGCAGAAAAATGATATGTTCTCATTTTTAGGCATGTCATACCCGAACTGGCCAGAGAAGAGCCCGGTACCGCTCAACAGACTCGATGCCACTAACCCTGTCTTTACAAGATATGCCAATGATAGTGTTTATGCAAACTGGATGGCTTTGCATTCTCCCGCAAAAATTGTGGACACGCTCAATAGTTAAAAAAGCAAACCAAAATCAGTGGTGGGAAAGATGTGGGGGGTGGGAGATGTGTATATTTATATGATACTGTATATATGTTGTTTGATGATAAAGTCGGTTCCCTTTTATTTCTGCTGTTGTGTAGAAGATGGGAGGATGGTAATAGATTTCAAATTGGCTGGAATTGCATAAAACATGCTTCAAGCAGCTCATAGGTGATTGTTACCACAAGGCCCTGTTGGCCATGTTGTATCACTGCATGACTCTGTACAGTTTAATGTCCATGTTTAAGTGCCTGTGCCGCTTCTGTTAGAAAACACCAGTTATAAATGCATGACCGAGACAATCTTGGTCCCACTCCAGGAATTAAAGGGAGCTTCTTTACCATCACTTACTGCAGATGTTTGCTGCAATGATTGGACATGTTTATTTGGAAAAATAGTTTTTCTTCTTGATTATGTGTCAGGATATGACAGAATCAATTACTTTTTGTTTTTTTAAATGTTGATATTTTGCTCTGTGGTAACTACGAGTTATGAATATTGCCATAACAGAGTATTGATATGTTTAATTTAATGTCATATGGTGATTTAATTTTCATTGTGCAACAATAACTACAATACATAAACCTGAGTGTGATTCCTCATTATGTTGTCAAAACATTACGTTTCAATCAATAAAACTGTTAGAAGATGCCAGGTTTAATTTAATGTGTTTTATGCTATTTCATTCTCAGACTTCATTAAAGAGCAACAAAGAATAGTTCTAATTATTTACACAAATAGATTAAAATGTGGTAACATTTGCTCATCCTGACATCCTAAGGGTTGAGGCATGGATTTCATGACACATTAGTACTGTGACCACAAAAATGAATGAATGATCGGAAAATCAAGTCCAACGTACCCTGTGTAAATATGTAAATGGTTATGAAACCATCAATTTGAGGTTTCATTCAGTTTGTCGTTTTGCTCTGTGAATAGGAAGATTTATTTAAATCAGATAATACCAACATGGGACTCACATTAAAAGTTTTTCCTGGCGTAAGTGGAGCAGCAGCACGAATAGAGAAAAAAGACAAACCTATAAACACATGACATACCATTTCAAAGAAAGGAAGTGAGTTAAATTTCAAAGTAGATTTTCAAAAATTGCATAATTATAGTGAATTTTGTTAACCATAGGGTTTAACGATTTGTAAAACATCTAGACAGGCTTTTATTTTGAAATTTTGCGGCTCATAGCGGAAGTAACGTGCGTTTTTATTGTGCTTCCTTTTTTCATTGCACCGTGGCGTTCTGTTCCCACATTTATTATGCTCGGTATTCTATTGAACAGTTGCATAAAGAAACGGTTACCGAAAGCCACATACAGTCACAATTACCGAGGGAAGTGTCGCACATTTCCGTGTTTATTTTTTAAAACAACTTCAACCTCGACGTTTTCTGCCACAAATTATATTGGTACCGTTAGATTTTTCTTGTGCGAACGGCAACATTTTGCCATAGATCAGTCAGCCAGATGTTTCCCTGTGCGCTTAAAGGTGTATTTCTTTGATGATGTAGAAGCAAACTTGATTAGTATTATTCAGAGTCTTAGGTGCTACCTTAGTTTATAATAAGGCGCAAGCTTGTATATAACATCAGGAAGAATTGCGGTATAAGTTACACGTACATGTGCATAAAATTCATACAGTGTGTGGGGTAATGTACAGTCAGTCGGCAAAATAAACACCGTGAGCAAAAAACAGCGTGATCTGATCAGGAGTCCGACCCCGCTTAAAACACGGCTACTTGCCAAATTAATGAATACATGATGTATATGAAATATTGATTATTAACTTATTATTAAAACATTTAAGTTATCATTAACGTCTTATTTTTAGATTATCCATTCTAAGTTTCGATCCGAAGAATTGCAGTCTTTTACTACGTAGACTTTTTTTTACAATATTAATTCATTATATTTATGTTTGTGTTTAAATATATATATATATATATATATATATATATGTTTCATAAATAGATAACACATAAGAGATTATACATTTATGGATATATCACAATTTGTTTTACTGACTGTTCTGAAGTTAAACAGCAAGGCACTACTGGGTGTTAAATTATTTTATACATTTTTATTTGTATGTATTTGTTTAGTCTAAATATACTGATGAGGAAAATATATGATTAATTATTGTAATCTCTTTTTAGATGAGTTATTTCTCTTAGAAGAGGACTATTGTGCAAGCAGGATGACAGGTCGTCGAAGGTATATTCACACATCTCTGAGGAATCTGAGCATGTTCAGTGTGCTGTAGAGTGAGAGGAGCATGATTACAAGAGAAATGTGACACTACCGCGCTCCCTCCGCTTCACTTGGGAATGGATTAATGTGAAAGACTTAATCCTTCCTAAAGGTTACATCTTGTCAGGGTGGGAATGCAAAACGGTGGCTGGTAAAGAGCACCCTGCCTCTCAGATATGCCCAGGCGGGGGCTTCCTCTGCAGGGGCGGGTGCGCTGGCTTGTCCTGGGGATATTTTTGCTTTTGGTACTGCTGCTGTTTGCTTACCTCCTGGAGTGCACACCGCCTGCGGATGTAAGCCAGGTGCTGCCTGGCCTGGGAGGAGATCCGTATAGAAAGGAGTATTACCTGGCCCTCCTGCAGGAGCAGGATTACATTTTTTTTTGTTAGCTAAACTGTAAGTAAGCATCATCAACAAAAAAACAAATGTGTTTTTCCATTAGCTTTTGCATTGAAAACAAGCTGTATGACAGGCAGAGGTTTATGATTCTTACACACTTTTTTCATCATAATAGTCTTCACAAATAAAAACAACTGAATTTTGAAGCTTAAATACATTCGGCAGAAGTAGAAAGCTAAATTTAGGCTATAAACACTAGGCCTCTCACGATAACAACTTTTTGTTGTGCGATATATTGCCCCTATGTACGACAAGTTACAAAAGACACAGGCGTAAGTGGAATGTACAAAACATGGTGAAATTATTTTTTTTAAGTAAATATAATGGGCGATATATTCCGTCACCAAAAATTATTGAGGTCATGTACATATATTGCGCGATAAGTCGATATATTGATTATTGTGACAGGCCTAATAAACACCACATTGGCATGAGTTCAGTCTCTCCAGCATTAAGATTCTGACAACTCTTTCAGTCTTTATTTAAAAACATTTTCACTGAAATTGAGTTAGAAAAGTTTGCAAGAATTCGATAATGAGGCTGTAAAAGCAGCTAGTGCGTAGATGAGTTTACCTGTTCAGCGTGATGACGTTTATTGTCCCCAACAACCTCTGTAGTCACATTTAGCCACTTGTTGACAACCACCTTTTTCAAGACAATTAAAAGCTTTAAAAACCACAAAGGATTCTAACTGATTTATTTTATGTCAGAATAAAATGTGAAGATATCTTGAGCTTGTGTTAACCACAGAACATATTTGAGGCATTTAACCAAAAACCATTTCAGAAAAACCCATTGACTTCAGGAAACTGGAACTTTTAAGTTCTGAACACGTTTCTAGGTTTTGGCCTAAACAAATACATCATTTTATATACATAAATGCATCATTTCAATTTGGATGAAATTTCACAGCAAAAAGATCCATTGTCAAAAGTGTAGTGATGATGTATGAAGCACAGATTACACAGAACTTACTTTCAAACCAAGTAGTGGCAAATTGCAACTTGAACCCGAGGCAAAATCTGTGGGGAAATTTTTCGTTTTTACACATACATAACTCCCAATTGTGCAGATTCCTATTGACATTTCAAACTAAAAAATGTGACAGAGCATGTAAGAGAGATTAGGGGAATGTGTGTTTTTGTGTGCTGCAGATAATATGGTTGAACTTCTAAAGTTGTGTGGGTAGGGGCAACACAGAGCCAGATGTTACACAGTTTTACAAGGGAACAAGTGCGGTTTTCCCTTTGGAAGTTTTGGAAATGTTGTGATCAGGCTATGTTTTCTGTGTGCAGGGAGGTTTGTATACAGCAGGACAAGCGGGTGCATCTCACAGTGGTGTATTTTGGGCAGACGGGCTTGCAGGAGGTGAAGGCGTCTCTGAGGAAAATGTCCAGGTTTGAGCTTTGCAGATATTGATATTTTATGTGTATAGCGTGACTGAAACATTCTATGATTGCCAACATCCTGAATGGAGAAAACTCAAGGAAAAGGAATTTGCTGTTTGTGGGGCAGTTGAAATGTTCTTTATTAGAATGGTAATTTTCTTGACTAGCAGAAAATATACTTGCTTTTTCAAAGTTATTGAGTAAGGTACATAATCTGTGTAAGTACACTACCATTCAAAAGTTTGGGGTCAGTAAGATTTTTATTATTATGTATTTATTTATTTACTTTTTTTAAAGAAATGTAATACTTTTTTTTCATCATGGATGCATTAAATTGCATTCAGCTTTTAATGTTGTGTCAGCTTTTCTAAATCTTTGTAAAAAATTATTTTATTGCTATTTATTTATCTATTATTATTAATTTATTTATTTTTTATTATTACTATTAATTTTTTAAATATACATATTTTTTATTTTATTTTATTTATTTATTTAATTTTTTTTAAGTCTACCAGGGTTGGGGTGGGTTTTAAATTTGCACAGTTGCTTTTTGTTTTTATATTACTATTCCCAGAAGAAAATTCAATAAACAGTAGGGATGTAACGATTAACCGCGAGCCGGTTGAAAATCGATGTGACACTGAAGACTGTAGTAATGATGCTGAAAATGTAGCTTTGCCACACTGGAATAACTTTTTGAAAAAAAATTCACAATATTACTGTTTTTATTTTATCTTTAATCTAATAAATGCAGCCTTGTTGAGCATGAGACTTTAATTAAAAAAATATTACTGACTCCCAGCTTATAAATGTTATTGTAGGTTGTTAATTAAAGATTGTAAAAACTGTATTACCCACTTTGGTTGGCATAAATCTTCTAAAGCTCATTATGTTTCTTACACTGTTTTTATTCATGATCTCCAGTGAGGAAAACTTCAGTAACTACACTCTGATCCCTGTGGATGAGGAGTTTTCGCGTGGCCGTGGTCTGGACATTGGAGCTCACACGTGGGAGAAGGGGGATGATGTGTTGATGTTCTTCTGTGACGTTGACATCTACTTCACACTGGAATTTCTTAGCACCTGTCGTCTCAATACAGCTCCAGGTCTGTCATCTCAAGCATTTATATCTGAAAATTCATGGACCCATTACTAGATAAAACATCAGTATTTCTTCCATTTTGCACTGTTGTTTAATTGCACTATAGGATTAAGTTTGTATGTTAGTTGGAAAACAAAATAAGAGTGCACACAAACTAAGCAGTAATAATATTAGTAATAGGATTTGTTGTCATGGACAATTGTCATGCCTCCATTTTTTTATACACTAAAATGTTTATAATAAAAATACAATTTTTTTTCTCCCTGGAAGGAAAACGAGTTTTCTACCCGGTGGTTTTCAGTTTGTACAATCCATCTATAGTTTATGGAAATCTTGAGTTTCCGCCCCCCATTGAGAATCTGCTGGTATGTACATCAAGATTTTTCTATGAACCTACATCTTTGTAGAATGTATGGCTTTCTACTGATACAAAGGTGAATAATGCAATTGTATGCTGTTTACAGATTCATAAAAAAGATGGCGGATTCTGGAGGGATTTTGGATTTGGCATGACTTGTCAGTATCGCTCTGACTTCCTCAGCATTGGTAAGTCGTTGTGTATTTTAATGTGGAAAAAGTTTTAGATTTATAACAAAATAAATTTCCATTTCAAATATGTCCGTAACTTTAATTTGTAAAATGGAATAATGAATCGATACATGCATTTATTCCGGCGTAATTTCAAATCAATGCATCAGATACATCAAATTACAATAAAAGATAATTTGCTTGCTGTTTCATATAAATAAACTCACAGTTCCTCTTTTCTAGGAGGATTTGATCTGGAAGTGAAAGGCTGGGGTGTAGAAGATGTGCACTTGTACAGGAAGTATCTACGGAGTGATCAGATTGTGATCCGCACGCCTGTATCAGGCCTCTTCCACCTGTGGCATGAGAAGCTGTGCGCAGATGAACTGACCCCAGAACAGTACCGCATGTGCATCCAGTCCAAGGCCATGAATGAGGCGTCACATTCTCACCTGGGCATGCTGGTGTTCAGGGAGGAGATCGAGACTCACCTTCGAAAGCAGGCCTACAAAACCCAGAGCAGACCAGCAGAATGAATTGACTACAGAATCAACAATACAGAGCACAACTTTGTTGACATGGCAATGAAGAAATGGGTCAAACGGACATTTTTGGTATTATTTGAACTAAGTCCACTCTAAATAATAATCTATGGATTACTGAAGACCTTATGACAGCAAAAAAAAAAAAGACTTAAGTGTGGTGGAAGGATGGTACTGATAGGTACTACGTAAACTGTTTACATCATTGAGAATTTAATTTCTCTGAGAGTTCTGGAATAGTCTGCTTTAATGCCAATTTAAATTGTAGGTGTTCTACACTAGAAGGACTTATTTACTACATGTGAATAATGACCAGTCCCATTAGGGAAATGAGTTAATGAAGATGAGCTGAAATGCAGAGAAATTGTTAGGGCCTCATTCATGAAAGAGTTTGTACAAACTATTCATAAATGTATGCAAAAGGGGCAATCATCTACAGATGGATGTGGTTAAACTTGCCGTGCTGGATTTGTTCTGTTGGCAATGTCTGTGTTGGAACAGTATTCAGACTTTGAGAAAAGTCTTCCATGTGTTTGAGATGGCATGGACCCGATATGCATTTTGATGCGTGTATCAAACTTATACTTTGCACCATGTGTAAGAACACTGGTCAGTGCCGTAGCACTAACAGTCAGGGGTTTATGATAAAATGCTCTAATATTTCAAGACATTGGCCTCTGCAACCACTTTGAAATGAATCTGTGGTATATAGTGAGTTACTGCAAAAAAAAAAAAAAAAAAAATTTTTTACATCCCTAAAGGACATTTCTCTGATTGAACAAACCACTTGTGACAAGGACATTATGTATTCATTCAACTTTAAGCAGCAGGTAGATTAAAAATAACCGTTGCTATCTGTTGTAGAGCCTTAAATTGGTCAGGATGTTGAGTTCCATTACTTATTTTCTAAAATAAATGAAAGGAATACAACTAACCATGGTTAATGATTTTTGTCCCTGAAATAAACCATGATGTGGTGCAGCAGTGTGAACCTTGAAATGTAGACCTGCTATTTGATCCCCAGTATATGTGTCATAAATTTTTGTTTTGGAAGCAAATTCTGTGCCAGTAAATATCAATTTTTTTAAAATATCCCAATATATACTGAAGATAACTGTGATGATCTAAAAAGCCAGAGCAACACAATAGCTACTAATAGTTTAGTTTATTATGACTTGTTGGTTGTAGTTTTCAAACAGCATAGTTATTTCTTTACTAACTCTAGATAATAAAGGGTTTGTTAATACCATTTATAATTGCACTCAAACATTCCCAGCTCTATAAGCTATAAAAATGCCATTTTAAACCATTGTGGTATTGAAATCCACTATTTGACTTTAATTTCTTAATTTAAGACACATGGAATAATACAAGTGTATTCATTTTAATATAGACTACAACAATATAAAATAAAATAAAGACAGTCCGAGTTGAAAACAGTTTAAAATATTCTTTTATCTTCAAAGTAATGTGATTTCTGATGGCCGAAGAGTTTTAATGAGCATCACATCAATGCACTGCCTGATCTGGGTGTATGTTCATGGTCTTGTAAATTTCCTTGAGGAGAAGCAGAGCTGTATCTTCAGATTCCCTGAGGAAAGAGACAAAAGATTCTGTTTGTAAAACACAACATGACAATGCAAGTACATAATGATATTAAGGAACATCACATACCAGTAACACAGATGACTTTGGAGTGCAAACAGGTATTCATTGAAGCTCTCGATGGGTTTCTCTTGCAGAACGTAGTCAATGCGTTTTCCTCCATTCAGCATGCCCACTTTTACTTGTGTCTCCTCTTCCTTCTGAGGTTCAGGACTCTCAACCATCTTATCCTCCTCTGCAAACAAACAGTGAGATTCAGATTTTGAGCTTGAGCTGAAGTGTGCACATTGAAATGATGAAACGGATAAGGGTAAGAGGATATTCACTGTGGTTAACTTACCTTCCCCTTGCTGCTTTTCCTCTTCTGCTTTGATTTGACTGGCGACCATGGCGAGCTGTTCATGCAGTTGAGCAGACGAGGTGTGAGCGCGGGCAAACTCATTCAGAGTCTGCCAAGCACTCTTCAGAGAGCTGATGAAGCCTTGCTTTAGGTCCGAGCCCATCCTGGATAAACTCTCTTTTAATTCTGGACACAAGACACACACACAAAATAAATAAATAAATAATCACACTCCCCCACAAAAAAAAGAAAATCTATGTATTTTATTATAATTATGACATTGCTTAATATCCTTAATTAAAATGATTGTTGACTGTGTTTTGCTTTATCAACACAAGAAAAAAAAAATTTCCTGGACAATTGTGCCTGGATAATTTACCATTTCATTTAAAAAAATATAATTTCTTAAATGATATATTATTTTTCATTTAAATGTATTATTATTTAAATAATTTAAAATAATATATATTATTTAAATTGCTATTATTAATTAAATTATTTAAAATAAAATATCTCTAGAATAATTTTAAAAATGCATGAAATGCACAGAAATTGCCTATTACATACCAAGATGAAGCCTCTTTCTCCCTTTATGATGAGGGATCAAAACCGGCTCCAGCTCAATGTCAGGTAAGATCATGGGTTCAATTCTGTATGCAACTGGATCCAGCTGAGTGCACAATAACATTAATGCATTAGATACATAGCTAACAGTGAGAATGTTTAAGTTTAAAATAGTGGTGTTCATCTTTCTTCATTTACACTGACACTTTAGTCCTAAACCATTTTTGTTTCCAAAAGATCAGATGCCTTTGTAGATAAACAGTAGACAAGCTAAGACACCACTTACTGGATGGTAGATATTGAAGAACCCTTTGCAGGTGGGAAGCTGGTAAGACTCTTCGATTTTCTCCACCCCACGCACTGTCAGAAACATCCCGATTGGAGAACCGAGAGCAAAGAAATTCACCGGTTCAAAGTCCAGAGCATGATATACCACCGACACCTGGAGAAGAACATCCAAGATTGCAGAGCATGTTCACATATCAGACCCACAATCAGGTTCTGACAAGATACCTTCATTCAATCATCTTGATCCATAGAGCAATTTGGGATGGTGTATGTTCGAGCTTTACCTGCCCTGTGCCTATTTCAAAATAGTTGTAATCCACATGGATTGAGGACATGGTCCTTCCTGCTGGCAGTTTGCTGACGGCAGAATCCGGTGTGGGCTCTGTCTGAACGGGAGGTTGGGTCTCTTTTGGTTCCTCTTTTTCTACAGTCTTCTCTTTCACAGCCTTTCGGGCCGCCTGCCAAGAAACAAATGGGTTTCAAAGTGTCACATGAAACTGGACAAATAAAAAGTGCAAACACTACCAGATGCAATTTAAAGACAATTGAAAATATGCCTGTTTTGCAGACTTCTCTTTGACAAAATTGGCAAGTTTTTTACGTGGCCCCAGAGGAATAGCCATTTCCTTCAGATCATCTATTGTGCACATCAGCTGCAACATAGGAGAAATAGCCATGATGAGTTGTTTATTCTGTAAAAAAATAATAATAATAATTTAAATGCTCTCACCAGAGACTCAACATCAATCTTCTCAGTTTCAAAGGTGTTCAGATATTCAGACAACCCCAACATCTCCAGAACTGATGACAGGTTGCCAATCTCCTCTTCTTCCTCTTTAGACTCTTCCTCAGCAGCCACTACAGTAGGCACTTCATTGGCCTGGATGACGGGACTTACCTACAGCAATTAAACAATATTCAAATAAGGTTTAGAAGTCATCTTAAAGGGGTCCTATTATGCTTTTTCAACTTTAGTTAGTCTGTAATGTTGCTGTTTGAGCATAAAAAAGATCTGCGAAGTTACAACGCTCAAAGTCCACTTCAAAAGGAGATATTTTAACTACGTCGGAGACGCGCTAGTTTTCACAAGGCAGACGAACTTAGTGGTTACAATCATCCGGGTTTAAATCACGCTCAAATTGATTTTAAAGACCCACAGATAAAGGCTGTGTTCCTGTGATGCCATAAAACAGAACATGTCATATGTTCAGCATTTTATGGTTATCTTCAATCAAAATGTACTGATACCTGTTTCACATTAGGCAGAGCATTTCCATTGGTCACTGGACCTGCTGAAGGTGAGCCGGTCTTCTGATTGGACAGCAGATCAAAAAGTATCAAAGAGCCTACAGGTTAGGGGAAATAATAAATTAAAAGAAAACTGTAAAAAAAACAATATAAATTCTAGTACATGGTGTTTTTTTACACAATATCATTGTGTCCTAACAGACGTCTAACAGAGCATTACTTTGATTCATGGTCTTAAATGATAAAACTTGAACTAGAGTTAAAGCATGTAAAAGCAAAGGATTCTCACCCAAGCTGTGTCCAGCCACGGACACTCTGCCTTTGAAGTCTGGGTTTCTTTGCATGAACAATGAATGTAAGCGGTTGATCTCAAAAGCCACGGTGTCCATAATGGTCTGGCAGTAGGTTGGGCTGTTGTAGAAGAGAACATCTAAGAGGGTTTCATTAGTGAAGTGACGCAAACGACCTGTGCTGGGCAGAGTAATCTTCTTTATCCTCCTAGATGATTGAAAACATAAAAGACAGAAATATGTTTTGTTAAAAATATATAAAACAAGATGATGTGACTGATAATACAGACAACATGAATTTAGGCAGAACAGTATGGAGATTTCAAGAGCATTTCAAAGCAGCACCAAGAGGAAAGAAAAAACATCCTGACAACATATTTTTTTCAGTAACCTCAACAAAACAAGTTTCTTAAGAAAGAGTTCCTAAATTTTTGGACCAACAAATTGTCATTGTTTTTCCACAGAGGGATAAGTAAATTTAATACAGGATAGTGTATTTTATAATTATACTTCCATTCAAAAGTTTGGGGTTTTTTCATGTGTTTTTTAAATAATTCTCTTAAGCCCACCAAGGCATTTATTTGATCAAAAATACAGTAAAAAATTTAAAACATTATTACTATTTTTAAATGACTGTTTTTTTTTTGTTTTTTTTTTAAATAAATTATCATTATGGCAAAGCTGAATTTTCATTGAATTTTACTCCAGTCTATATTTACTCCATTTATTCCAGTCAGTATCACATGATCCTTCAGAACTCATTCTAATATGCCGATTTGCTGCTCAAGAAACATCTTATTTATTTCACTGTTGAAAATGGTTGTGGTGCTTAATATTTTTGGGGAAATTGTGATATATTTTTTCAAGATTCTTTAATGAATAGAAAGAAAAAAAAAAAAAAAAAATTATTTGAAAAAGAAATCTTCCATAACATTATTTATAAATACCTTTACTATCAATTTTGATCAATTTATCAAAAGATCTTTACTGAATATTACTTTGAATAGAACTAAACATATATTATATATATATATATATATATATTTAAATTACACATTGGTGGCTGAAGGTTCAGTACAAAAGAAACAGCAAAAGCAAAAA